CTTAAGTTTGGCGCCTGGCCATGCCTCACCAATATTAACTCTTAAAAAACACTTATATTTTACTTTACAAATGCACTCACAAACATATTAGCTTCAATAACATGTAAACATCTTCAAATATGTTATATATAATTTTTTTATTGTGGTGAGAAGGTGGAATGCTTTATGCACCGTCAAACTGACCGTCGTCGGAATAGTGTTTCCGACTCTCTAACAATAATATGTATTATACGAACTAGAACACCCCCACTTCGATGAGACTTATTCCCCCTTTAGAACCGCTTTTCCATTACTTCAAACGGGGTCTCTTCGAAGAGGGTCTCTTTTATGTTGGCATTTCAAGCCACGCTCTTGTGTTTTTCGATCTGCGTCCCAGACCTTCACTTTTTCAAAAACTTTCATGTAGAATAACACGCAGCATATTATCGCAGAAGATAACAGCATTTGATTTACGTGTTGCTATTTGTCCTATTGGCCCTATGCTCCTTCTAGGAGTTAAAGAATTTAATATATATCTATTTGTGTTTTGGCTAATGCATGGAAGAAAGTTCCATCATTTGTTATTCAAAAAGCTTTTCAAACCTTAAAATTAAATAACAGGAAGTGGAATAACACAACAACATACCGTTGCATTAAATAAGAGTTAAAATTAATGAATAATATTATTATAATATTATATTATTATCGTATGCACTTAACACATGCATACAGTAGGCTGAATAATATTTCATATCTCTTGCTAAAATTTTAATACTTAAAGAACTAAAAACTAAAGCAATATTATTATTATTGTTGGGTGATGTTGCACTGCTACCGTCGGATTTATTGTGCCCTTTTTTGGCTTAGAGTAGATTTCTAAGCCCTGTTGCGTTAAGAAAAAGTAGTATAGAATTTACTTTACAGAACTCTCAGGAAGATATGCTGATTTAAGGTCCGTCATCAACTAAAAGACAAATAAATGATATGATTTTTTAGCCTAGTTAAAGCCTAGTGTGGGGTAGTGATTAACCCCCCAGTCATTATAGAGTAAAAGTGCGTAATAGCACTAACTCAAGAAGAAGAAGAAGAAGAAGAAGAATTTTATTGACTCTTCCGTAAGAATACACATTCTCAGGAGCCTTTTCCGTATGTGCATTAGCGCAGGGCATACGAACAGAACATGTGTTGCTGACTCCTCATAGAATCCACAGTTTCTATCCGTAAGTATAACCAGTATTGAAGGGTGGCATTTTAGTTTACAATGCCCTATTAGGAATTTTGTGATGATTCTAAGTTTTTCTTTTGTTGGGCTCATACAATCCTGGTATCTCTTATTTTCATAGATACCAATAAGTGATTTGGTTTGTGTTGGTATATTATCCAGGTAATCCCTTTTATTCAGATTTTCATTTATTTTTGTGAGAAAAAGAAACGTAATATGTCCTAGCTCATGGAAAGGTTCCGGCCCCATCATAATTTGTCCGCGTATTCATTTCCGCGTATGCTAGTATACATATCCCGATAACCAAAGAATCGACATCTGTTTTGATTTGCCAAACAGATTTAGCTTATTAAGGTAGTCTAGCACTAGTCTTGATGTTGTCTGATATGAGTTTGGTGCTTTCATCGTCGCTTGGCTGTCTGTCAGTATTGCGTTATTTTTATCCTGATCTTGAGTATAATAAAAAGCAAGCTGAAATAATAAGTTATAATTATAAAGTATGATATCAAATATGTTATTATAAATGAAAATAAGTATATATATTAATTTCTAATCAATTTTGTATTAATGTCTTTTTGTTTGGTTTAAAAATTTTAGTTGCACTAAATAAACTAGGTAAACTCGATTATTGCAACCATATCAATTATTGCAATATCCTCAAATTCTATTACTTGCAATCTACTGTAAATGTATTTATATGGATATATGGATATATATTTGAATTAATTTCTAATATCTATATTTTAATTGGATCATTGTGACATGACATTGTTCTGATCACTTTCATGGAACCTTAGCATCCTCTAACAAAGATTATAAAAACTGATCCTCAACAGATTGAAAATTAAAGCTTTCATACAGTATTGATCATCTCTTTTCTGTAGTTCTGTAGTATCTTCCACATCCATTTTTCAATATATGATAGCAAATTTTATACAAATTTTTTATGCACGTCTTTGTGTGTTAAAAGTCATGCACAGTTATTTGTAAATATATTGTTATCCTTTTTTTAGTCTCCCAGCTAATGCACTACATTACTTTATTTCTTATTATCGCCTCTGTTCTGAGTCATAAATATTTAAACGAAAAATGACACTTTTATGAGCAACGAAAGTGTTGACCGCATAATGTGTTTGCAACGAAAGAAAAACTCGAAGGTCTTCTTCCAATGCTTTTAGTGTGCGAACTAAAAGAACAAATGTGGGGGAAAAATCTTCCCAGCCGTGGCAAATGGCATGTGCGCTAGCGTATAACTTTCAAGTGTGGTTATGACTGCTTAAAGCAAAAGTAGGAAACATAAAATTTATGAAGCAATTGTGTTATCTGAGTTCAAGGATATCACACACACACACATACACACATACACAAACGTAGCCATACATATCTCAATGTATATTTTTATAATGCTAAAATTAACTTGAAGTGCAAGATGCACTATGAATGTCTAAGTAAAAAGTTTTCTTTCTATACTTTGAAATTCATGAATTTATGTTATTAGGCCATCTCACTTGCAAAGGATACCTAATAAATCATAAGACCCCAAATTTATTAATATTAAGAAAAGATTCACCTGAGTTTATTATAACAACTTTCAATTAGTATTTTAAATGCGGTCAACGTGACGACCTATGGGTTCCATTGATATAATTAAGTATCAGATATTGACAACAGTAGTTAAACGACCACATAGTTCTATACTTCTGCCGGCTCACCTACTATAGGACCGAATTTACTGTGAACAATTTCCTATGAAGCTAAGAAAACGGAAAGCATTGCCTTAATTACGACCTTAAAACATGATTTTCTCTCTTTTAGGTCTTTTGGTGACATCCGCAGCCGGCCGGATATTTTGACTAATGCCTTTAGGACATTTTTAGCACACACTATTCTATATTCGAAATTGTCAGTCTATTTGGACGTTTGTCAAAATGTAAGCTACGAAGTCAGATAACACTTAACCATAAATCAATTTAATTATTCATTAATTTATTAATTATTAAATAGCCATAAATTTCATGTACTATTCAAAATACATTCAAAATAATAAATAAATAATAAAATTTAAATAATTCCCCATATACACCCATATATTTTGTTATAGTAATTTCTCAAACAATGATACAAATGCCAATTTTGAACAACGCTTAGAATTCCTTTACTATTTTATTTAATGTGTTGGATTAAAAGCTGAGTCCAACATCAATAGATTACTTAAGACTAAACCAATGACTTTGCATTTACACTCAACCATTTACCTTTATAATTATATTATATTAATTATTACAAATTCAAATATTTTAAAGTTTAATTAGTTTTGCCGAGACATCTACGCTTTTTTATAATGACATAGAAGCCTGGCACTTACAAACAAATTATATATGGTCCATAAGTTAATTAAGAAATTCGAATATTTCCTAAAACCACTGGTGATGAGTACTCGGCAATGCTCTAAACAGCGTTGTATGGTCAGCCAAATTTCAATAAATTAACTAAAATTTTTGTTGTTCTATCTTTCTTTGCAATTCGAAACCTTCTAAATATAATTTTTAATATAATAAAATATTAAACGAATCCATAAAAAGTGAATAAAAACTTTAATTTCAATAAATTTAAAGAATTCATAAAGGTTTTGTATTCACTTCTGTAAATAATGTATTATACATAGTTTAAAAAAAAGAAAAAAGTGTATATACCATATATATGACTTACATAAAAGGGAGTTCCAAGAATATTTCTCAAATTGAAAACTACAGTGGCAAAAATGAATAGTGCATACTAATGAATGCATATTAAAGGAAGAGAGTCTACTTTGAAGAAGTTGAAAGACTATATAAAAACTTCTTGACAAAATTAAAAAATTATATGATTTTTTCCTCAAAATTTATGGTAATATATCTAAGCAGATCTACTTTAGCAACCCTACAAACATTTTATTTCGATACATGAGTTTTTCTAATGTAGATTTAATGTATCTAAGATGAAAATATATCTAAAAAAGTTACATAAAAACTTTTTTGTATGTAATAGCGCTTTCATTGTGTTAACTGAATGCCAATTTTGCTTTGGGAGGCGCTAATAGTTTTGTATGCTTTTCCGATTCTCTTTGTATCTCCATCCAGCATCGTGTATGATGATGCACTCGTATAAGCTATTGTTGCTGATTTTGTGCCATTGGCAAACACTTTGCTAGAGTATTTCCCTTTGACTTTGGTGCTATGTTTCCGTCACTTTTATATAAGAGTTGTCATATTTAAAGTTTCTTCATCTTCCCATCTTCCCATCTTCTCATCATGGATGAGTGACCCAAATTTTATTGTTGTGCCATTGCATCATATCAGCCTTTTAGTATTAGTTATTGTCCTTTTGTCAAAGACTCTGTAAGTCCGTTGTCGTCGTTGTTTGTAGCTCTGAACGCCAATATAAATAGCGGTGTAATGAGCTTTTAATGTCAAAATATCCTAAGTCAAAAAGACAAAAAGATACTTTTAAATTACTTTCATCAATACTTCTCATTATCATTGAGGCATACCATATGTAATAAGAAAAAATTCATACTGAAATAAATACTAATTTGTTAAAGTTCTGGAGATATTTTAAATATAAAGGCATTGGTTAACAACTTTGTATATGTATTTATACGAGTGTGATTAAAATAAATTTAGTTGCTCTTATATGCAGTTAAAATACTATATAAAATCCAATTTAAAATTAAGAAATATAAATTCAAAACTTTAAAAATAAGAGTTTTTATATTTTTATGAAATAAATTCTTTATGTTTATTTATTTATTGTACAGGTGGTTTTTTTTTCTATTGTATCAAATAAAGCATCCTTTGCAATGTAAGCATATATTTTCTTATGGCTTAAGTTCATTTTCTGGTTGAATGTGGCTTAGAGGAATAAATCTTCAAGTAGTGGTAGATCGTTTTACAAGCCGACATGATTACTTTTAATACAAATTAGACGATTTATAGTTGAAATTAAATATTTACAGTATTTAAAGTTGCAATGTTTTCAAATAAATCTAGTTTACGTTTCCTTTTAATTAAATGCAACCAGAAATTATTTTTGTATTCTTCCATATACTTCTTCTAATCAATCCTGGTCAAATTTTTCATCTAATATTGGCGATTATTCATATCAGGCAGCATCAGGAGTTAGGGCGTGCTATACACATACATTTAGCAACGTTTAAGTTTTTTGAAAAGACTAAGAAACAGATGATATCGTTAATAACTAATAGACGTTGGTAAGATACTTTAGCTTCAGAAACTGTACTTGTGTTCAAGTTTAGAATTCAATTGTGACGTGTCTTCGGTGTTACATTATTTCATCTTCATGAAGAGGAGGAATTCCACATCTGTAGTTTTAAAAAATTCTTCTTTAGAATAAATTAATACCAGTATTATAGCATTTTAGTACCATTATTAACTATCACAATCATATAGGTAAATTACTGAACTCTTTCCAACACTGCAATACGGTTATTGGTGAAGAAGTTTCTAACAATTTTGTTCCATCCATAAGCAGTACCTATGAAATATTGTGTTGCTGAAGAGATCAAAACAGAATATTTTTGATTAGTTACAGTTCACAATCCATTCGCATATTTTAACTTACCCTTAAATTTTCTTGACTTTTGAAGGAGTAGTTTTAATGCTCGATTCCATCAACTTTATGTTCATCTCAGCGAACAAGTAGAGTTCCTTTGATTGACTGATATTCTCCTGCACTATTTACATCTTTCGTATAGGTTCAAGGTTTTCACATGGCTTACATATATTTCAGATCGATTGTTCAATTTGCTAGAACCAGAAAAACTTGCTTTAATTTTATTGCTGCATTTTCAAAAGACAGACTCTCTACGTATCCATTTTCAATGTCCATCTGATATCTGAAATATATTACCAAATTTTTTTTATTTTTAAGTTTGAGTTAAATTATGCATTTTAACTAATCTAAACTTACCTTTAGGGAAAATTTTTTTTATTGTTCAGGGCCATTATTTTCCATTCTTGAGTAACTTTTATGGAAATGAAGTGCTACATTTTATGTTATTTGTTATATGTTGAGCAACATAAATTCCAGTGGTATTATAACTTCAGTTTAACCACTTACTTAGGAGTACATAGACTGCATATTTATATATGGAAAACGCAATTTTGATATTGCGAATCTGGAATTGCTGTTCTACTCATTAGATCGTTGACGTCCTTTTCTTGCCTTGTGTTTTTTTGCCAGAGCTGGTAGATATCTCATATACGAGCTAAGTAAAAATATATAATTTTATTAATACAACATATGTATATTGGAATTCATATATTAATTTATTATTTTAAAATTTCAACATATATTCTAGTAACTTTACTCGCTATATTATTTTGAGAAAGGACAAATCTTTACAAATAAACTCTTGAATAATGCATTCAATTGTGATAATTGATGAATAAATACTTAATTTGGTTAAATTTATTTTATTATGTCAGTTATGACGAAAGGATCCATGTTTCCTAACAGAAACTATTATTTCAATTAATTGTTAATTAACAATAATTATAGTTAATAACTAATTAATAGAGTTGTTGCTTAATAATAAAATTTTGTTGTTGTGATTTACGACTGTTCAAAATATATTACAACTTACATTTTTATTATCCTAATATTAATATATGTAATATTTCGACTTTATTGTAAACCATTAATTAGAAAATTTTGAAGTTTACGTGAAACCAAACATTTTCTAAAATTGTGAAACTCCTGATATATCAAAATAATTATCCTTGCTTAAATAAATTGTATACATATATAAATTATACAAAAGAACTCACATATTCTCTGATAATAATTATAATCCTTTGATCACTTTTCATTAATTTTGTCTTACCTTTCATGTTTCAAGATGACATCAGTTCTTAATATTTTGCGAACCTCCAGAACTACTGAATATTGAAATTATTAGTCTTCTTTGAGCTTCTGTAAAATGGTAGCCTGAAGATTCGCAATTTTTGGCGAGACTCGCCTTACGGCGAATCCCGAACGGATTTTAGTTTCTTCGCTCGCATCTGGTATAAAACTTTCTGGATCAACACTTATTGAACTAGTTTGCTTAATTGTCTTTTTCACATTAGATTTTTTCATTTTCATGCAATTCTTTTCAATCTCAGGATTTGAGTGGCTCTCTCCAAATACACTAAACTCGGACATCTCTGAATACTTAGATATTCCTGTTTTGGATAATTTCTCCCAAGCTAATATCTTGTTTTTAATATTATTTCCTTCTACACTAATAAGTGTCTGGTTAGACTCAAAACATTCCAATTTTCGTGTATCTGGTGATATATGTGAATCACATTCAACATCAGATATATCGCTATTTTGATCTTTGCATAAAGCGGAATGATCCCCATTACCGCTATTTAGAAATCTATCAACTATAGCCTGTTTTTTGTTTTCATTTAACTTTTTCTTCATATCTGGAGTAGTATTTCCGTGTAGACCGTCAATCAAAGTGGTTTCATGGAGATCGTCCTGTATAGACTGTTCGTTATTTTTACTCATTTTGTCGTTCTTCATATCTGCTACAGTACCAGTCAATAGGCCCGAATCGTGAAGACCGTCATCTATAGACTGTTCTGTATTTTCACTCACGTCCAAATACTGTTCCTTATTTTCATTGCATTTGTTTTTCTCGATGTCAGTATCTTCGGAACCAATTTGTTGCAACTGTTTTGGATTTGACTGACTGCTGTTAGGTAATTTTTCTTCAAATTCCTTCGAATTAGGTAAATCAGTTTCCAAATTTTGGGATGGGCTTGGTTTAATTACACACACGTCCCTACGAAACAAGCCAATAAAAGGATTTACTTCCAGACTCAATTGATTCTCTGTACCAAATTCATGATTGTTATTAGCATCCATAGGCTCTGATAAAAATTTTGAATTTTGATTTTCCATTCCCAAAAATGGCCAAACAATGTGTGAAACACTTATGTTTAGATTTATAAAATTTATAAAAAAAATATTTATTTATTCTTCCATAAAAACAGTTTTAAAAAGTCAAATCAAAAATCAAAGCTTTGTTGACCAAAAAATCTTAGTAATAAAACGAAATTATAAAAAAATAATAAAAGATAAATTATTTAGTATTCAAGTTAACAGTGATTTAGTGGTAAAAATATTAGAAAGCCATGTGACGGCATTGAGCCAGAGGGTGGTGTTGGTATTGAGTGTTTGAAGCCTCAAAATAAATTGAAGATTTTATATGTATTACCGATAGGTATTTTGACATAATTATTAAATTAATAATTTAAGAAATTTGCAATTGTATGCGAAATGCTTTTGTTCGATTAAATATTGGAAATGTAATTTATGTAGATATGTAAATAAATACTTAAGTATTGATGAGTATTATGCCCCTAACAGTAAACACCAAATGCACAGAGGTTTGTACATATATTTAACCACAACTTTTGAAATCAAATATGCTGTTATAATAATAATAATAATAATAATAATTTTAAGACATATTTCCAAAAGACAATTAACATAACCCGAAGTTGGAGCAAAACACTTTTAATATGACATTGGGCCAATTGTCTAAAGCAGTCAACAGTCAACGGCTCAATTTGTTCACTTAACTCAGTCAAATAAGTCAAATATTATTTGCTTATAAAAAACTTCCTTAACACAGAGGTGAGCCGCTAACAATAACTATTTGTATTTGTTTTTATAATGCCATTTGTTTTTCGCACTTCATTTAATCCTGAGTGTTTGTATATAATAGCATTATCAGTATGGTTAGGCAAGCAAAGTTTTGTCATATCAATGCTCATCGACAAGCACTAACAAAACTACAGAATTAATGAACTATTTTTAAGTTTTTTTTTTGTTTTGATAATATAGAGTTTAAGTATAAAGACATTATTTTGTATTCATTCTTAATGGTGATATTGTTGCTTTGCTCCACATTATCCATTCTGATAATATGTTCAAGACCTCAAAACCGCTGGATGTTAATTCCCTGAAATTTATCAATGACGTAATAAAGCTCGTGTAAATTTATCGTAAAGCTCCGAAGCGGTATTCATCGCCAACTTCAAGAGGATCAAAAATCTTGCGAGGACCAAGCTTTTAATGCCGCTTCATTCCATAATAACATCCGTGCTTTTGCACCATACAGAAACAAAGGTTACATGAGTGATCTATAGAGCGTAAGTATAATCAACATACTTCGTAAATATTATTTCGTTTTTTATTTTTTTTGCAGTCGGTGGAAAGCATCAAAAGCCACAGTGTGAGACTTGAACTCACCAAAACTAAAGCGGCTGCAATCACTGCATTCCCGTGACCAAGAGCAGAGAAGAGAGCAGATTGTCTTA